TTAGTAATAAACAAGTCAGTCGTAAACAGGAAATTAAACATGTATTAATAACACACTTCGATTAACATAGTAAGCTCTAAAGACAATGACAGTGTTTTTACTATCGTTCCCTTCTATGTTAAAAGACAATGTCAATGATAAATAACATAGTTGACTACTGGGCTTATATTCAGGGGGGCGCTTATATTTGGGGCGGGGGGGGGGGTTATATTAGGAATGAGGTGAGCATTATATTCAGAGGTTTACATATACAGTTGAAAAAAGCTTGTATTTTCTTGCCATAGACACACATTTCTGGGTGCATATACTGTAGAACAGCTTACACGTTGGGTTCTCATGTCGATCCAATGGTAATTTGATATCGCTGCCATCACCATAGTATAGTGTAGCACAGAATGGCCTTGTATCATACTTTGACATACTATCATGCATACAGAAATGCCTTGGTCATTCATGTGGAGATGTGACTATCACGATAGAATTAGTTACGCCAAGTAACATGTCGTGCACGTCAGGTGGCAGCTGAAATATTTTAATATTTGCCATAATAAGCCCATAACCTGTTCGCAAAATAACCAAAACATCTTCACCATTTTACAATGGCCGAGATACATTTGAATGTCTCGTCTTTTAACGAATATTCAAGCCCTCTTTTCGCTAGAACAGCTTTCATGGCTCTTTCAATATTTGCCATTGAATATAGTTTAATAGTAGTGTGATTTAAAGCACCTTTAAACGTATAAAAACCATTTTGTATACTATATATATTCTCATGAGAAGGTTCTCAACAAATATATCGATTGTGAGCGTGTGCCCGCGCGAATTTAGTAAGCGGAATAAACATAAGCAATAAAAGCGCATGCGCCATTTATCTCATTTTGGATAAAATAAATTCGATTTCCCCAGAGTCATGCCACTACCTAACCCGCGAACAGGCATACTCTGGGAACGAGATTGGCGCTACGCGAATTCTCTTAATTCTAGTACTGCGCGGATTTTAATACATGTATTTAAAGGTATATTGTCGACATTTGACTAAAACTATCGTAAGGAATTAGCTAGGAGAGTTTGTCCTTGTTTATATTCCAATATATTGTATAAATTCGCTGGGTACAAATTTCTGAAATTTTGGGGTTTTCGAGTGGTTTAATTTAATACAAAAAGGAAAAAGGCAAGAAAGTCCAGAACGTACACAACGGATGTTATGAGTCCACGACGTATATTCATAGTTGTTTATTAAGAAGTCACACTGCCAAACCTTTAACTTGTCCTTGTTTAAATATCCTTCTACATATTGTATAAATTCGCTGGGTCCAAATTTTGTGGTTTTCGAGTCGTTACACAAAGAAAAACACATTAATTCAACACGCAAAAAAAGTACAGAGTACGACACAACGTAAAATCCATAGGACACCGGCCCAATTCTTTGAAAATTCAACGAAACTGTGTAAAATATAGTTTGATCACTCTGTGAAAAGTCGCCATTGGAGTTCGGAATTGTGCGCGTGCGTACAAGTGTATGGGCTAATAAACGAAAAATGTACCACAAGCATGGCATGAGTCGACTATTACGTACATAAATACGAGCTTATTACTATACTATCTAAATCATGGAACCGAGGGAATCGATGGCATTTTGGCTTAATCGTTGCACCCTGAGCCTGCGATGAGCTATCGCAATCTCCATTTCTCGAGTACGAAAAAAAAACAGAAAAAGAGGGATTTAAGACACTTAGCCTACAGGCCAGTGTAAAAAGAAAATTGAACTTAGGGCCTGTTCATATGATCCCGCTTACCGGGACGTCTCGCTTACAAATGATCTCGCCACCTATCTATTTTCCTATAAAATTTTGCATTGTGTTCATATGAGAAAGTGAGCTGGCCCGCTTGCCGAGATCTCCTTTGAATTTGCCGAGATCATATAGGTAGGCGGGATGAAAATTTTTCCATATGAACACGCCAGCCCGCTTACCGGGATGAAGTGAAACAAGTCTTGCCGGTTTAATTTAACACTTTTTACTTGGTTTTATGTTTGTTTTGTAAACAAGTATTAAATAACCACCTGAAACAATACTTTTTCTTGTAAATAAACGAAGAAAAACACTAAAATCGCCAAGTATTTGTGTTGCTTGACTGAAATGTAGAAGTTTTGCATATGCTATTAATTATAGAACTTCAATGTAATTTCACTCGGCAAGCGGGACGAAATACTCCATATGAACGCACGGAAATATTCGTCTCGGTAAGCGAGACGTCCCGGTGGCGGTAAGCGGGATCATATGAACAGGCCCTTACAATAACGAGCATAGAAAGAAACGGCATTGCAAAACTATAGCAATTGCAAAACTAAAAGTTTTGAGCCGATCATAAAATTAAATAAACATTTAAAGTCTAGCTGGTTCTCTTAGATATGGGCATTTGACAATGTTTTTGCGCGCACCGTTGGAAGTTGACCGTATTTTTTTGAAAAGTCAAATTCCCGGGGGTTCGCCCGGTGGGGGGATGATCGCAGTTGGAATTGACTCGTACATAAATCAAGAACATTTGCACCTGGATTACTTTTGATTTTCGGAAATTTTTGAAATACTTTACTTTCGCCGATGACCTTATTTTATAACTGTAGTCGGGAATCTCTTAAAGCGAGAGAAACCCCAGTAAGTAGAATAGAATAGAATACCAAACATAAACTACTTATCTGTCTTTGCTATGGGTAGCTTGCTCGCATACGTATTAAATTTCGATATTTCAGTCCGTATGGCCAATGGGCGTAGAAAGATCGATAATTGGGGGGGGGGGG